TTAGTCACTGATTCTCACAGCTCCTTTTAACCTCTCGACTGGATTCCCTTGTAAAAACTCAACAGTTCTCTGCAGACGAATGGTCGGATCGAAAAGTCCAAACTATAACCCTCTGAAGCCGGACACACTGTGGGATTTCAGGCCTTCCAAACCAAACAGACCCAATGAAAATGTATGGATGTGAAGGCTTCCCTCCTTGCTTTTAGCATTCAGTGAGTGAGCTGTGTGAGACCGCACGCACGCACGCACGCACGCACGCACGCACGCACGCACGCACGCACGCACGCACGCACGCACGCACGCACGCACGCACGCACGCACGCACGCACGCACGCACGCACGCACGCACGCACGCACGCACGCACGCACGCACGCACGCACGCACAGATTGAGTACATCCACCAGAGGGAAGAATGGCATCCCGGGGCTGTTGGCTGTATCAACACTGTTTGCTTATCACACTGCCGTCTTATTTTCCCATGACATGCTGGAGGCTAACAGACTCCACATTTGACATCTCCTCCTCATACATGTACGGCTAGAAGTGGATCATTAGGGCGGACTATATCAGGTCTGGGACTGTTAGCTTATCTCCAGAAATCATATTATGGGCAACACTTGGAAAACAACTGTGGCTTTTAAGGAAACAGCTCATGAATCTTACACATTGGATTATTTCTCAGCCCCAACCAGCTACCTGCTGCCTTTGCAAACCAGACCAGAGTTCTGCATTGAACCTAAAGCTCAAAAACATGACTAGGTGGTCACCAAATATAACATGCAGCATACACCTGTAGCTTCAAAGTCTGAACCTCTGCGATCGTGGTGTTACAGACGTCCATATTTCTCCTCTAGTGGAAGTGAAATCTGATGCTCTGGCTCTTGAACTCAACTCAGTTCAAACACATTGATCAAATTTAGCAGACACACTAACAAAGCACACTGGGTCCATTATTGAATATTGTTTTCTACACCATTGATTCTGCTCCTACAGCTCCAACAAGCTGGCCACCAAGAGTGACCCTGATGTTTGCATGTGTCCTGATGTTTATATTTTAAAATGAAAGTTATGAACGGAGTGGTGATGACAAAAGTGATGACTGAGCTAAGACACTGTATGAAGCTACGTGCACTCTGGGGATGTGCAATTGATTGCAATTCTATCATTATTATGAGCGTTCACATAACCAGAGGCGCTGCTTGTTCAACAGGCAAGGTAGTCCACAGTAAGGGGCCCCCCCAGACCAGTAAGGGGCCCCCCGAGGGCTGACAGACTCTAAACCACAGAAATGGCTCAAAATGTGCAAACTTTTGAACGACAGTAGGAAACCTCCCTAAGAGGGCCCCCATCTGATAGCAATCCCTCTCATTGTGCTGCTAAGCGTCTCGTGCAGTACTCCTTTGAAAACCTGAGTTTGTCAAAGTCAGCAAAGAAGAATAAAGAGGAAATATCTATCTGGGAGTCAAAAAAAGAGTGAAAAGAATGAGGAAGAAAGAAAGTAAGACGTTGGATCATTACTTAAGTTTCTGACTACAGCAAAGGAGAAGGTTAAGGGCCCCCTCCAAATGCTGATAATGATCAACTATTATTTCTAAAATAAGGGTGATGGACGATGGTTGGAGGGCCCCTGTACCTTTTAGCCTCAGACAACAACAGACTGTAGAATCACCGCTTCACAAAACACATTGCAAAAGTCTTTTCACAACATATAACAAAATGTATTCAATCTAAAACATCGATGCTTTCTCGATGTGCACATTTGACACACTGGATGGAGGTCTGGGTATAATGACGATGCTCTGACATCTACCGGACAGCAGGGACTGTCTACTGCCAGATTGTGCAGTCACTTTGAAATTCATAAGTGGTGGTTAAAATGTTGGATTCAGGCGGCGCTGGTGGCGTGGTGGTTGGTGCGAGCGCCCCATGTACAGAGGCTGTGGTCCTCCAAGCGGGCGGCCCAGGTTCGAGACCGACATGTGGCTCCTATCCTGCACGTCATTCCCAACTCTATCCACTGTCCTATCTCTACAATAAAGGCGTAAAAAGCCAAAAAAATAATAATCTTTAAAAAAATAATAATAATAATTGGATTCAGGAGGGACAGATGAGCGAATGTGCACTCTAACTTTTGTTTAGTTCTCGCTCTTCAGGTTTGTCTCGCAATATTAAATAACGCAATCGATGCATCGCATATTTTCTCATGCAGACCTTTATGCGTCATGTCTTCACAATGAACTTGACCGTTCAATTTAAATCCAAACGTTCATCATTGAAGACCAGCAAGGCTGTCCTTTGTTCCTTTTTTGGACTTTACATTTTGGCGACCGAAACCGTACTTTGGTCACAAAATGACCGTACAGGACTCGGCTGTGAACTGGGCCCAGATTCTATAACTGCCGCCCTGACGATCCCTGTGGGGAAAAAAATCATATAGTCTAAGTTTACTTTAAAGACTGCAGTGGACTCACTAACGTGTGCATACACAAACACTGAAAGAAAAAAAAGGGGGAAATGGACATCTGAAATGTGCAAGTAAAACTAGAGAGCGGAAATGTTGCAGCCAGGGTGCATTCAAGGGCTTTGACAGAAAAGAAAAACATTGCAGTGCCATGTCTGGCTCCTTATTCCTACAGAACTTGTTTATTCAGCTGAGGGGGAACATGTTGTCTGCAGGAGAGATTCAAAGCTAAGATTACACACGAGGAAAAGAATGAAATGAAACAACTTGACAAAGTCTGGAGAATGGAGAGCGGTGTTTGATAAGTGAGAGAGATTAGAATCAGTGTCTGCATGAGGTGATGATTTGTAGTCAAGTCGAGGAGAAATGGATGCATCAGCTAATGCCAAGACTGCGTGTGTGTGTGTGTGTGTGTGTGTGTGTGTGTGTGTGTGTGTGTGTGGTGTGTGTGTGTGGTGTGTGTGTGTGTGTGTGTGTGTGTGTGTGTGTGTGTGTGTGTGTGTGTGTGTGTCCTGCATGCTAAACACACAGCTGATCTTTGCCATCACTGGTTTCTCTTGTGGCTCTCTGAGGGGCACAAAGGGCAGATTGAAGAATCAGGAGTGTCTCCGCTCTCCTCTCTCCCATTCACTTCATGATGGACTCTCCTTCAGAGGTCGACAGTACTGGATTTCTTAACTTCTCCATGAATTCAAGCCCTTGTCTTTTTTTTGCAGTTTTCTGTAACATTTGAGGGCTCCGAGTCGCCTTCACCAACCCGAGGTCGAATGAGGCCACATGGAAAGCGCTGGATTTCCCACGTTTAACAGAAACAAGATGTGGTTGAAAAATACACGGCAAAACTGAAACTACTCGGGTCATCAAAATGTTCAGCGTACCAAGCGTTTTAAAAGAAAACAATCTGTCCTTTTAAAGATCGATAGTCTCTTTCTCCTCGGTCAGATTTTTAACACAAAACTGCCGAGAGAAAGTCAAATCAAAGACAGATCTGAGAAAGAGATCGCCCGTTGTCAAACGTTGCCAACATATTTGTGCAACAGATAACCGTGGAGGAGTTGGACCGCATTCTTTTGCTAATTAAAAACATGAAAATACCAAATGCATGTGACTTCTAGTTGTTGTTGTTGTTGTTGTGGAATCAAAGCAGGAATCGATATCATTTGAGATTTACGTCAATCTTATTCTGGTATTGAGGAAAAAAAACATTAACTGCTGCAACAGACTAAAGACTGATTTCTATTTTGTAGTCACATACCCAGATGTATTTTTTCATGTGTTAGAATTTAAATATTGGCCTTTTCTATTTGCACATTGACACTCAACATCCGCTGGCTGACTTCAGGGAGTAGGGATTGTTATGAAGTTAATATAAACCACAGAAGAGGAGCAGAGTGTTATTAAACACTGCATTAGGATATGAACTCTGATTGATTTCTTAGGTTTAACAAATTAAATAAAGCATTGTTTTTTTTCAATTCAATGTATCAGTCAGTATTTAGAAGTGGGTATACCCTATGTAGACTGACAAAATAAGTGTGTATACTACATACATATATATATATATGTCAATGCACCTGAAAATGTAAACATAGTTCTATATTTTAAACAAGTTTAGGTACACCTTGGGATCAAAATTCAATAATATAGCAAAGAAATGACATATTTATGAAGGTAAACTCTTTTAAACAAAGGCTAAAGGTTTTCAAGTGGGACAGGGGGCAGATAACACACAAACCAGCATGTTTTAAAGCATTCAAAATACGACCAGAAATCCAAAACATGACCCACATTTCAGCAGTTCAACACATTTAGCTTAGCTTAGCATGATACAGGTATGGTCTGTGTGTTTTAAAGCTTGTTTAGAGGCTTCACTTTTATGTATAAAGCAATAAAAGGTGATGAAAGCTGACTTGAAGATGACACTCAGCAGACATTAAGGCTTTTACTTTTCTACCTGCTACAACACAGCCACGTCAAGTCGGGACAGAAAAACCCTTCAGGGCAGAAAACAAACAACAACAAACAAAGTGTGGTAGTTTTGTACTATCGAATTCGATGTGTAAATATTTGATTTGTATGTTTTCGATACAGTTTGAGGGCGATTTGGTGTTTTTTTTAAAGCTGTTCTCTAACTTACTAAACATCTGGCCTCTCACTGAAACTTTGTGACGGAAGCGAAATGACGCGTCCGGCCCAACGGTTGGTTGACTGACAGGCCGCGGCGTCCAATGGCATTCGAGGAACTGAACATAAACATTCCAAGCGAGCCTGAGACGGCCAATTAGCGCCGGTAGGGGGCGGGTCCTCTGAGATTTCATGTTAGATGGCTTTCCAGAGAGAGGCCCAAACCCCGGGGTGGCAAAATAATAATCGCCGAAGAAATGTACCGATATCCCCGCGGGGGCTGTTGACCGGTTACCCCTCCTTCAGCGACAACAAGCCGGCTTCCTAACACTTGATTCCCGGCTGACATGAACATGATAAGATGGGGCAGCACCAGCGGTTGAATAATTAGGGAATATAAAAAGCAGCACCTACCCAGAAACTCTCCAGGAAGTACGGCGTTATCATCGTGTTTTATTCCGCTTCGCCGCGACTCTCAAAATTGTCGTGCTGCAACTTTTTAAAGCGTAAATCATCCGCCGTCCTCCCCCCGGTTCTGTAGTATCTGCCTTTCCCCTTTTCCTCCTCTCTCCCCTTTCTTCTCCCTCCCCACCTTCAGACTCCACCTCCACTCCGGCCGTGCAGACTCTCTTCTTCAGACCGGAGGAAACAGCGCCACCAACGGCGGGTTTAAAAAACGTTGACTCGTTGACGACGGGGCCGTCGCTAGGTAAAGTGTTGCATTCAAGTGCATCGCGTAAATTCCTGTACTCGGCGAGAAATGTATGTTGTTGTTTTTTTTTAAAAAGAGTTACAGCAGAGTTTTCAAACATGCATTAAAAAGTATGGTGGTCATGAAGGTCAACTGCACAAATATTATATGATTGCAATAATAAAAAAAAATCACAAGACGCCAAACTAATTTTTATGGAAGCCCATTTCCGCCAGTTAAAAAAATAAAAATGAAAATTTGGCTTTGTTGAGATTTATTTTTTTGACCATAAAAAATGACTTTATTATCTCATTATTTATTTTATTATTTTTATGGTAAAAAAAAAAACTCAACAAAGCCAAATTTTCATTTTTATTTTTTTAACTGGCAGAAATGGGCTTCCATAAATTATTATTGCTAATAATACCAATATAATATTATGGAAGCCCATTTCTGCCAGTTTGTTGAGTTTTTTTTTTTACCATAAAAATAATAAAATAAATAATATGAGATAATAAAGTCATTTTTTTTATGGTCAAAAAAATAAATCTCAACAAAGCCAAATTTTCATTTTTATTTTTTTAACTGGCAGAAATGGGCTTCCATATAATATTGATTTAAAAAACGAAAAAATATTTCATGAAACATCAAAAACATTTCAGTTACTGCAAAAAAAAAGAAAAAAAACATTAAACTCTGCTGGAAAGTATTTCTCCTTCTGCAAAATAAAATATTTCAGAACCCACTAAGGGGGAGGACACTAGGCTACTTGTTTGTAGTGGGACTGAACTCACGTCACTTAGGGAAGAAGCGTCTGTTGGGGCCCTATAGTCAAAAATCCATTGGGGGCCCCTCCAACCATCACTATTGTGTCTTCCTGTGTCCTGACACTCCTCTTCCTCTTTTCTTCACTCCCAGACACATTCCTCTTGATTTTCCTTTGCTGACTTTCATTGACAAACTTTTGGTTTTCACAGAAATATTGCATGTGATGTTTGGCATGGCTAGGAGAGTGTGTGCTGTCAGATGGGGCCCCCTTAGGGAGGTTTCTACTGTCATTGCAAAATGTGTACATTTTATATCACAGTGGGGGGGGGGGGGGGGTTCCCCTACCGGCCTGGGGACCCAAGCAGTTGCCTGCCTTGCCTACAAACAGGTAGTGCCTCTGATATTCTACCCTCTAGGTTTCTGATGTACTTCTTGTAGAAGGTGAAATATTTTTGTTGACAAAATGGCGACTTGTGAAAAGTTTTTTTGCAATCATGTAAAATTTGTGCAGTTGACCTTCAGGGCCACTGGGAAATTTGACTCCTTAACACCAGATTATCATGTTATTACTGTTCCTCTCTGTAGCTATAGTCCATCGTTTACCACATGACAGTTACTGCACTAAAAAAAATCATGCTGTGCAGTAATTCCAAGAGCAATTTTACCATGCAAGAACTTCTAACAATTTCTGTGTACAGTTTTATGATGGCTGTTTATCTTTAATGTAACTTTTGCCCCTTGCACTTTTCTATTTTTACATCTTGTTTACCATGTTTTTATTTCCTCTCTTCTTGTGAGCTGATGTAACAAGAGAATTCCCCCTACGAGGGATCAATAGAGCTTATCTTAAATGAACTACTGCAGCATAAAAATGTCCACTGATAATCAGTGTCAGCTTCATTGGCCAGGTTTGTTTGCACATACAAGGAATTTGACCCCGTAGTGGTAAGGAGTGCAAAGGATGTACAAGTACTTGTGAAGTAAAATGCTCTCCTGTTGCTCTGCAGGTTGGTGCTCTGCCCTCCTGCAGCTGCTGATTGTGTTTCTTTTGTTAACTAGGATTTTGTGTTGGTGTTAAATTCATGTCAATGTTTGGCATTTCTTAAATTGTGTTTTGATAAAAGCTGATTTTCAGTTCAATTGTGTATCCAGTTTTAAGTTCTTTTAAGTTTGTCTTTTTTCTTCATTCCCAATTTCAAATTTTGTTGTTACTCCCCTACTGGGGCGATTCGAGAGCCTGTTGGGGCCCCAGGCAAAACTTCACAGGAGCCCCTCAAACTAGCGTTCATTACCATTATGTGATAAATAATCTGACACCAAGAACGAAAAAAATATGCAAAATGTTCATTTTTTTCTCATCATAATTATTTCAAAATATAAACGTAAAGAACATTTAAAAAAAAAAGTGCAATTTCAAAATATTAATATAATGAATGAAAAAAACCATCAAAGAAACGCAGTGATGCTCCTCTATTTAAAGGGCAATGCTGGCAAGATTCAGTCATTTATTTTATGATTGAGTGCTCTCAGATGGGGCCCCCTTAGGGAGGATTCTGACTTTCATTGCTAATTTAGCACATTTTGAGTTGCTGCTGTTGATTAAAATGTATCAGCCCTGAAGGCCCCGGGGCCCTAAGCGGTTGCCTGTTGACAAACAAACTCTGCTCCCCTCATCCCCCGACCCATCTCAGGGAATGTAAGAAGATTTCTGAGACGTCATTGTGAGGAGGACAAGTGGACACATGTTGTCCTCAAAGTCTGAGTTTCCATCTCCTCCACTTTTCCTCTCATGACATCACTGCGCTCTGTCAGCTGGAAGAAAGCTCTGCGACGTTTGAGGAAAGAGACGAAGGCCCGGAATAATGTAAACAGTTTATTGGAACAATGTACAGATTCAAGCAATGGTAACCATTCACATCCACTATATCATCTTACAAATATTACAAAATTACTACAGTACAATATAGAGTCTTTGCATGATCCAAAATATTTGGTGGCCCCAAAAAAGTATTACTTTTTTTTTTTTTTTTTTTTTAAATTCAGCAGCTTATTAAAAAGAAAAGAAAAGAAATCAAACCATGTCTATCAAAATGATGTTTTTCACTTTTATCAGCAAAAAAGATGAAGGCAGATCGTCTAATCGAGAAAGAGAGAGAAGGCTAAATGAGAGGACTTTCTGTGACTAGACATTCCTTAATATTGGTGGGTGCTTTACAAAATACACGTTCAATAAAGCTTCGTAGAAAGTCAAAGTTAGATTTGCAAACATTACGATTGAAACAATATGTTTATACGTTGTCAACAGGGTTGGAAATGATCTTTTTCGCCTGCCTGCCACTCAGACTGGTGAATTCAAAAATCAACCAGATGCTTTTTTTTTTTTTTTTTTAACCTGCCACCTTTTAACCAGCAGCGTGATGTAATGTCGTATAATACCAAATTAAGGCTTACTGTATTCACATAATCGGCTATTTTATGAAGGGAAATGTTTCAACTAGAAACCCCTGACATGCTCTTTGTCTCGCTTATAAACACAAAGAAAAGTCTATTTGTGTTTATCATTTAGAGACTGGTTAGCTTAGCTTATTAAAGTCAGGGTTGGTCATTTCCTCCAGATCCACTTCTTCAGATTTTGGTGTAAATTGTCTTTAGGTCCTGACAGAAATTAATAACTCATGTTCTCTGAAAAAGGAACAAAAATCAATCAATCAGACGCCTCCCTGTCTCCCTGCTCGCTCTCTACCTCTTGGGTCCATGAGCTGAGGTCCGCTTCTGGAGAAACGGTGCTCATGCATGTAAGCGAGAGGGCGTGGCTTTAGATGGAGAACAGAGGGGGAGGGGGCGTGGCTAAACAGAGCACTGAGGGAATGCTGATTACCAACCCTGCCTTTAAGCTGCAGATAAACCTCGACTGAGAGGCGAGATAATCACTTTGTTGTTTTAAAATCACTTTTATTTACCCACCAATGTGACGGGTAAGCTGAGCAAATTAAAAAAAAAAGAAAAAACATATTTGGGCGGGTGACGGTTGCTAATTTCCAACCCTGCTTGTCAACCTACTGTACGTCTTTGCATTGAAATTCGGTTGTTTCTTTAGATACAGAAGACTGCATATCTATTGCAAAACGCCGACAAAGTATTTGCTCTCAAGGCATTCTGTGCACGTTACTCTAAAGTATTTACCGCAGTCTTTTTATAACAATCACTTTGGACTACAAAAAGCACGTTAATTAATGTGCAAGTTACCATAATGTTCTCCCCCCCCCCCCCCTGCTTTGCAGCTGTAATCACAGCGGACACACATTAAGGACACTAATGTCGTTTAAACACCCACAGTTATCCGTTTCTAACACAAAGGGGCGACACCGATCTGAAGTGGGTTTGAGAGAGGAGATGCATAAAAAGGCATTACACATGAGGGGGGTCAACGAATATAACACAGACAACCTGAGGTCAACACATATTCAAGTAGTGAAACACAACTACGATGTATAGCAGCAGTCGAGTCAGAAGTACAGCACAGTAAAGGTGGGGATCGAGGACACACACAGACACACACACACACACACACACACACACCCCATCGAGCTGTAGTTACTCCATTGTTTTGCATGCCAAACAGCTGGAATGTGACAAGACGAAAATCACTTCAAAAACACAAAATGATGTGGCACAAACAAGTCTCTGCCTCTGTATTCCATGATGCATTCGATCCTGTATTCACTATTCTTATTATTAATAATAAACCGAACAGAGCAGGTAAACATGTCAACACTGTTCATGTTTGTCTAAGACACTAAAAAAAACTGCTTTACAATCTTAATAAACTTATTGCATTTTTTCTTAAAAAGCATTTCTTCATTTTGCATTCAAGCTTAAAAGTCGTATTCAAGGATTTTGGCTTAACATCTTCATTTCTTAAAGCACTCGCTATGTTAAATTTGAAGTGCATTTCAATGTGCATTACAAACGTTTAAAATACTGCAGTTATTACTCTGGCCAGCAGAGGAAATAATTACTGGCTGGGCATTTAAAAAACAAAAACAACAATCAAACTCTCCAACTCCATCATGGAATACATTCAGGCTTTCTGTAACTTAAACACTTTATAAAATAGAACAGCGCAAACACAACCGGAGACGAC